TCGATTTTTGTCATTTAATTTTGTTTTGTATAATTAATTCTAACACAATGCAAAAAGAATTTTTCAAATATCGTAAAAATTCTGGAAGTCGATATATAAAGTTTAGAGGCGAATAACGTGAAGTGATGAAAAAAAAGTCTGAAAACAGATTTTGTTCGCCATCAAAATATCTATCTACTTGTGAATTTCAGATCGATCGAAATAAAATTGTAGAAGTTGAAACAGATAGCTTGCCAGGCAAGGTAACATACGCCCACTGGCAGCTGTCAGAAATGAATTTTCAAATAATCTTAAAATCATCTTGAATCTATAAGTCAAGGTAAAAAACCTGAAACAGTTCGTCAAATTCAAACATGAACAATGTCTCATCGCTGTACACACAAAGGCAATAACTCTGAAACTGTTTATCGATAATTGCCAATTGCGAACTTGACCGAGGTCTTATCAATATATACAAGCAAACCAAGTTTCATCAAGATCAGATAAAAACTGCAGTCTCTATTGTGCCTACAAGCCACATTTGACCTATTTATTTTTACTAAATCAAGTGCAATAACTCTGAAATCGGTAATCCAATTATTACCAATTATGAACTTGACTGAGATCTCATTAATATATACATATCTAGTTTCACCAAGATTGGATAAAAACTGTGGTGTCTATCGTGCCTGCAGGCCAAATTTGACAAGTTTTTACTATGTCCAGGGCAATAACTCTTCATCCGATTGTTTCATCTAGGTTGAATAAAAAATGTAGTCTTTATCGTGCCAACAATCAAAATTTGACGCGTTTTTACTAAGTCAAGGGCAATAACTCCGAAACCATTCATCCGATTATTACCAATTTCAAACTTGACTGAGATCCTATCGATATACATACGTGCATAGAAAGTTTCATGAAGATCGGATAAAAACTGTAGCCTCTATCGCGCCTACAAGACAAATTTGACGTTTTTTCTAAGTCAAGGGCAATAACTCTGAAACCGTTCATCCGATTATTACTAATTTCGAACTTGACCGAGATCTAATCAACATATGCACACATACCTAGTTTCTTCTAGGTTGAATAAAAAATGTAGTCTTTATCGTGCCAACAATCGAAATTTGATGCGTTTTTACTAAGTCAAGGGCAATAACTCCGAAACCATTCATCCGATTATTTCCAATTTCAAACTTGACTAAGATCCTATCGATATACATACGTTCATAGAATGTTTCATGAAGATCGGATAATCTAATAAATAATATCGCGCCTAAAAGGCAAATTTGACGTTTTTTCTAAGTCAAGGGCAATAACTCTGAAACCGATCATCCGACTATTACCAATTTCGAACTTGACAGAGATCTCATCAATATATACATGCATACCAAGTTTCATCAAGATTGGATAAAAACTGTATCGAGCCTACAAGAAATGTCAACGGACGGACGGATGGAAGGACCGACGGACGGGGGCGACGGCAATATACGTCCACATTTCCATGTGGGCGTATGAAAACGCATAAATTAAAACTACAAAAGTCAGCGAAAAGAGTCAAAATCTGAAATTTTTAAAAGTACTATATATTTTGCGTTTTTCAATAGTTAAGTGCATTTTTATTATGTTGTTTGGATTTATCGGTTTATATAAGGATCCTGTTAGGTTATTTATGACACCAGGTATATCTACTGGTGAATATATGCTCTTATTGGCCAAGTTTAAATTTTTTCAATTTTATGTTTATTCTAAGACGTAGCATCCCTTTAAGGAATTTCGTACATTTCTAGTACTTCTGAAGACTATTTACATATATTCAAGAGTAAAATCAATCCTTTGATTCTTTAAAGTTCACCAACTAAAATTGTCAAAATACGTCCAAATGTTCTTTACACGTCCTAAAAGCATAAATTCGTTCGGTCTTTTTATTTGCATGTTCTGTTGTGCCAAATTGTCTCTTTAGAATCAATTAGATTCAATTTGTTTAACTCCCAAATTAACTGCCATTGAGACAGCATTATGGATTTTTTGTTCTGTCAACCAATATCTGTAAATTTGGTTAGTTTGAATGTTACTCACTTTTGTTCACTATAAACAAACTACTTTGATAAACTTGTAAATATTTAACTGTTTAAATTGTAATGTGTAGAAAGGAACTCAGCTCAAGTCCTATGCTGAAAATTCGTGAAATTTCATTTGCTCATTTCATAGTAAAACCAATATGTTCTAGTGCGACCAAGATATATGCCATATGCAGCTAAAGTTTAAAAACTTACCAATTCTAGTTACCGTATTGTACTAAGAGATAATATTTTTTTGGATCATATTTCTGACAATGAAGTCAACCTTGTTCAGGGTGTGTTTCTTAGTAACAAATTTCTCAGTCATATGACATTTCACATTTAAGCTTTACAAAATAATATTTCTAACAGTCGAAAATAGCTCAAATTCGAACTTGATCTTCGTTTTATGAATATGTATACACATACAAAATTTCATTTGATTCCATCAAAAAATCTAGTTTTTAGAGCGTTTACAATCAAATGTTGACGGACGGACGACGGACCTTCTGTATAGAGGTTAAAGGGCGATAACTCCTCAACACTGACGTAAGAGGCCTAAATTTTCCCAAACCTTTCGATTTAGGTCCAATTACATCCATTTTAAGTTTCATCAAAATCGGTTGAAAACTAAGAGAGTAATAGCATATTCAAGATTTTGGGGCAAGGGCAATAACTCTGCTTCTAACAGTCGCAAATAGCTCAAATTCAAACTTGATCTTCGTTTTATTAATATGTATACTGTGACATATACACATACCGAATTTCATTTGATTCCTTCAAAAAATCTAGTTTTTAGAGCGTTTACAAGCAAATGTTGAATGACGGACGGACAGGGGTGCCGACAATATACGTCCACATAGAGAGATGTGGGCATATAAAAATAAGATATCACTATTTACACTAGCAGTGTATGCCAATTAACATTTCATGTAATCATATCATAGTCTTATGGCAGAGTTAAAACTGAATGTTATGATGAAAAACTATTAACATGAACGAAAAATGATTTTACAATATTACAAAAGGAGAAAAAAAATCTTGTTTTTGAGTCTGTCGTATACTCTTCTTTGAAACACAATGAAGATTAGTAATTTTATCAAGTTGATTTCAAATCATCCCTTTCTTTGAACTGATGATCAACAGCTTTTGATAAGGCATCAAGAAATCCATCTAAACTAACACAACTTTTCTGAAATGAAAAGACAAAATTCGAAGTGAGACAAAATAATTCAATAAAGCAGGAAAGCCTGTAGTGCCAGCTAAAAATAAATAGTATATAATGAAAAAGTTCTTATGGATTACAATTACTAACTTTATTTGAGCGACATTTCGACCAGTGTTCAATAAGAATTTTTTATACACCCACATGGAAATGTGGACGTATTATGATAGTGGAATGTTATAGAAAAGCAGCCATCGTAGAAGTCCTAATTGCAATAATTCATTCATACCTTATTAACTCATTCAAGTGTCATAATTGGTAATTCTCATTTAATCTGTTATAATCTTTTATGTTTTAATTGTCGATTGTTGTACTAAATCTACATTTTAATCTGTTGTATGTTTCCATGGTCGATTGTTAATCAATTAATGTCATTGTACAAATTTGTTCTAAATACTGAATGTTATGTTATATGGGGCATCTTGGATTGACCAGATCACCTATACAGACGGACAACGCCGATGTATTGTAAATATTGTAACCGGTTATTATTAAACAGTTTCAAGTTCTTTTCATAGTTTTAGTGTAAATTCTCACTACTACAGTATATCACCCCCCGTCCATCGGTCCATTCACATTTCTTGTAGGCGCGATAGAGGCTACAGTTTTTGTCCGATCTTGATGAAACTTGATATGCATGTATATATTGATGGGATCTCGGTCAAGTTCGAAATCTGTAATGATCGGAAGAAAGGTTTCAGAGTTATTGCCCTTGACTTGGTAAAAACGCGTCAAATTTGGCTTGTAGGCACAATAGAGACTATAGTTTTTATCTGATCTTGATAAAACTAGGTATGCATGTTTATATTGATGAGATCTCAGTCAATTTTGAAATTCGTAATGATCGGATGAACAGTTTCAGAGTTATTGCCCTTGACTTAGTAAAAACGTGTCAAATTTCGATTGTAGACAGAAGATTTATGACATCAAAATCTTAGATACAAAAAAACGTGTCGCATTTGGCTTGCAGGCACGATTGAGACTACCGTTTTTATCTGATCTTGATAAAACTTGGTATGCCTGTACATATTGATGAGATCTCAGTTAAGTTCAAAATTGGTAATAATTGGATAACAGATTTGGAGTTATTGCCCTTGACTTAGTAAAAACACGTCAAATTTGGCTTGTAGGCACAATAGAGACTACAGTTTTTATCAGATCTTGATGAAACTTAATATGCATGTATATATTGATGAAATCCCAGTCAAGGTCGAAATGGGTAATAATTGGATTACAGGTTTCAGAGTTATTGCCTTTGACTTATTAAAAACGAGTCAAATTTCGATTGTAGACAGAAGATTTATGACATCAAATTTTTAGATCCACCATAACAAATATGTTTTGATGACTTCAGGATTTGCCAAAAAATCTAAACAGGAAGGGAAAAAAAGGGGGGGGGGGGGGGGGGTGTGGACGTATATTGCCGTCGCCCCTGTCTGTCCACATTTCTTGTAAGCGCGATAGAGGCTACAGTTTTTATCCAACCAAGATAGAACTAGGTAACAATCGGATGAAGGGTTGGAGTTCAAGGGTTGCCCTTGACTTAGTAAAAACTTGTCAAATTCGGTCTGCAGATATGATAGAGAGTACAGTTTTTATCCAATCTTGATGAAACTAGATGCATGTATATATTAATGAGATCTCAGTCAAGTTAGAAATTGGTAATAATTGGATGAACCGTTTCAGAGTTATTGCCCTTGTGTGTACAGCGATGAGACAATGTTCATGTTTGAATTTGATGATAATTTTATGAACTGTTTCAGGTTTTTGCCTTGACTTGATGATTTGAAGATTATTTGGAAATTCATTATTAAGCCAGTAAATATTTTATCATGACAGCTGGTAGTGGGCATATGTTACCTTGCCTGGTAAACTATCTTTCAATATATCCAACATCTTTACTAAATGCCATTCAAAGATCATAAAGATAGCTTGCCAGGCAAGGTAATATACGCCCACTGGCAGCTTTGATTTTGCATAAAAATATTTGGCAGTACAGTAACAATCACCAGTATGAAATATTCAACCTTCAGTCATACACTTTTTGTGAACTCTTTAGGGCGATACTGAATAATATTGAGTATGAATTGATTGAGTTCTTGAAAATGTGATAATCAACACTCAAGCCAAATTTCGTTAAAATCCGTCAAGAATTGTCTTTCTAGAGTGTTTACAATCTAAAATTTGAACGCGTTTCAAGAAGAAAGGCAATAACTCATACTAAATATTTTTTCAATTTTTCTGTTTTTCAATACGGTTTATCTATGGGTGATAACCAACACTCATGCCAAGTTTCGTCAAAATCTGTCAGAATTGTGCCTTCTAGAGTGTTTACGAACTAAAAATTGAACGCGTTTTCAAGAACAAGGGCAATAACTCACACTAAATATTTTTCAATTTTTCTGATTTTCGATAGGGTTCATCCTTGAGCGATTACGAACACTCATACCAAGTTTCATCAAAATCCGTCATGAATTGCAACTTCTAGAGTGTTTACGAGCGTTTCAAGAACAAGGGCAATAACTCATAGTAAATATTTTTCGATTCGTCTGATTTTCAATAGGGTTCATCCTTGGGTATCACATGCACTTGTAAAAAATGATAAAACAGTCTTTAGTGAATATAAATTTTATCACTAAAAGATCTTCACAATGCATAAAATTGTAGTTTGAATTTATTGATATATATTATAAAGTCACTAGCAATAACCAAAATAAATCAAAGAATCAAAATTACACTGATCTCATTTTTATACGCCCACATGAAATGGGAACATAATAATACATAATGGATAGTAATTGATATCAAGTTTTATTATTTATTACACCAAGTTCAGTATACATCAAATGAATCGCTGTACTACTAGTGGTATTGGTGATCCCATCAAAAAGTCTTCTGTGATTGGTTATTGGTGCCTGTTTTTTCTTTCTGGAATCAGCACATGAAATGTGCGTTCGTCCGTACACAATTGCTCGTAAACATAGTAAGCATTCAATTTTTAGCTCGTAAACTCTCCAGCAGGGACAATTCTTGATGGATTTTAACGAAACTTGGAATGAGTGTTCGTAATCACCCAAGGATGAACCCTATTGGAAATCAGAAAAATCGAAAAATATTTAGTATGAGTTATTGCCCTTGTTCTTGAAAACGCGTTCAATTTTTAGCTCGTAAACACTCTAGGAGGCATAAATCTTGATGGATTTTGATGAATCTTAGCATGAGTGTTAGTTAACAACCAAGGTTAAACCCTATTGAAAATCAGAAAAATCAAAAAATATTTAGTGTGAGTTATTGCCCTTGTTCTTGAAAACGCGTTTAATGTTTAGCTCGTATTCACTCTAGAAGGCACAATTCTTGACGGATTTTGATGAAATTTGGCGTGAATGTTCGAGATCACCCAAGGATGAACCCTATTGAAAATCAGAAGAATTGAAAAATATTTAGTATGAGTTATTGCCCTTATTCTTGAAAACGCTTTGAAATTTAGCTCAAACACTAAAAGGCATGATTCTTGCTGGATTTTGACAAAACTTAGTTTTATTATTCAGTCCTGCGCTGAAGATTGAATATTTGCTTTCTAGAGTTTTCACGGGCTAAAAATTGAACACGTTTTCAAGAACAACGGCAATAACTCATACTCAATATTATTCAGTATCGCCCTAAAGAGTTCAAAAGAAGTGTATGACTGAAGGTTGAATATTTCATACTGGTGATTGTTACTGTACTGCTAAATATTTTTATTTAAAATCAAAGCTGCCAGTGGGCATATATTACCTTGCCTGGCAAGCTATCTTTTCCAAATATAACCAAATAGTCCAGAAAAACATTTAAGGTGTCTAGCTAAATTGGGGATGCCATATTTTTTAGATGATCATAACTCAGACATTGTTCGAACGCACCGAACAGCTTCCATTGAACCTTGTGCGCAACTTCTGACACTTCCGCCTTCTGGGTGAAGGTCAGTATTCATCAGGCACGCTTCCACTCAACATCGTCATGCATAGATTTTTAACTCATTCTGTATCGTTTTCCATCGAATAAATGTAGAGTTTTAGTTTTTTTACATCGACTCATCGCCTGAACATTTTGGTAGCCAGAGCTTGGTTTGTATCCCGGTTTCGATTTCGATAATAGTAGTTTACGATGTTTGAAAATGATGCTCATTTAGACAGTTAATAAATGGTAAAACATCATCATGGGTGATAAGCCCGAAGTGGAAGGCCAACAGACAACATCTGATTCTACAATCGCCCAAGCTGGTAGTCAACCCTCAGAAGAACCTTTGTCTGACTTACGAAGAAGAAAGCGTATCTGTAAGTCACAGTTGACTAAGGCGAAGCTGTATTTGACATGCTTCGAACCAGGAAGAGGTAATAGACATTTTAAATCATCTTTGTGATATTACTGCCGACTTCGAGAATGAACTTGAGACTGTGCAATCTGACAGTAGTATAGTCGAAGTTTTGAATAAAGCTACAGACTGGCTGGGTCGTGTATCAAGTGGTTCTTCTCATATTGCATCACATCCATTTGCTAATCTACAACAGGCACAAAACGCACATGAAGAGTCCTCTAATGGTAATTCTGGTATCAGCCTACATAATGGTAACGGTAATTCAAGTGTTCAACAACCGTCAAATTTCAGCCAGATTGATCGAGACTTGCATCTACAACTCAGTAAGGTTTCCATCAACAAATTTAATGGTAACAAACGTGAATATCAGGTATTCAAAGATGCATTCATGGAGTGTATTGACAAATCGTCTTGCTCCAAGGCATATAAAATGCTTCAGTTACGTCAGCACTTAACTGGTGACGCTTTGAAATGCATAGAAGAGTTCCCGGCATCTGAATTGGGCTATGATTCTGCACTCAAACGTGTGCATGATAAATTTTGCGGAAAACGTCGTCAAACTCTTATCCACTTAGACACCATTCGAATGATGAAGCCGGTAAGCTTCAACGATTTAAAACGTTTTGAAGAATTAGTTGATGAACTTGAACTATGTATTCTGTCATTGCAAGAAAATGGTCGCACCGAGGAATTCGAAGTAGACTCGATGTTCTTTAGTGTCACTAGGTCCAAACTTACAACATCATGTCTTTTGCAATTCAAACGTTGGGCAGCTAGCACTAAGAAGAACGAGTCTCTTGTAACCGTACATGAATGGCTTGTACATGAAGTCCGTTATAGAATTGAATCCAACGAAGAAATTGAGGGTTTTGCGACAACTTCAAATGATTCAAAGACAGCATCGAACTATCAAAGATCTCGTTTTCGCAGTGATAAGTATTCAAAAACGTATGCTACAAATTCTATAATAGATTCGAAATCATGCGTTGTGTGTCATCATGATCATGCTCAGGGTGTAAGTAACTGTCCCTATTTTAGATCCCTTGCGGTTTCACAACGATGGAGGGTTGCAAAAGAAAAGCGCCTATGCTTTCGATGTTTAGGTAATAGCCATATTGGTAATCGCTGTACAGCTGCAGAACAGTGCTGTATAGGTGAATGTACTCGAACGCACCACTTCCTACTCCACGGAGGGGGATCTGGTAACGTTCAAAGTAATGAAGGTCTGCGTTCGAATCCTTTAAGTGAATGTTCTGTTCTGCCACCGACCGTTCGTGGTGAACTTCCACCGCAAAAGCAAACTCATACGCAGATTACACACAGATCTTCCCTTGTGATGAGAGTAGTACCAATTATTATTTGTAAATATAATAGATCAATTCGTTGTAATGCCCTTTTAGACGATTGTTCGACGGACAGTTATATCAATGAGCATATAGCTGCCCATCTCGACCTCCAAGGCGAAATCCGAGATTTAGATGTCTGCGTTCTTGGCCGAAAATCGTCATGTTTAAATTCAATTTTGGTATCTGCAGAACTATGCAGTCTCGATCGCAAAGTACAGACCTCGGAAAAAGAATGCTGATGCTGATGCCCTAAGTAGATTACCAACTAACACCAGCGAGTATGTAGAGGTTGATCAAGATGTAATTGGAGCTTTGAAGAACATCAGTATGAGTGAAGGATACGTTACCACCATTCGTATATCACATCAGGCAGTTCCTGAACCAACATCAGTGGAAACATCACAAGTAACCAAAGAGGATTGGAAGAAGAGACAAAGAGAAGGCTACTGCGTAAGATTGTTGAACATCTGGTACTCAACCTACGAATAAACCAACTTGTCCAGAAGAGAATAATTCACAGCGAGAATTCAAACACTTGTATTATTGTACAGGAAGATTATGAAGGATGGACAAGAGGTAATGCAACTAAATTTACCAGTCAAGTATCGAGAAGAAGCTATAAAGTGAACCCATGACAATTTAGGACATCAAGAAAAAGACAGAACACTGAGTTTGGCAAAGGAAAGATTTTATTGGCCTAGAATGACATCAGATATTGAAGAATATATACAGCAGTGCCAACGATGTGTGAGAAGAAAGACTCCACCTAACCTTTGTCCATTAGTAAAAATCACCACTAGTCAACCACTTGAATTAGTCTGCATGGACTATGTGTGCGTGGAAGAGGCAAAGGGAGGCTATGATTCCATTTTTGTGATAACCGACCATTTTACCCGGTATGTGCAAGCGGTACCAGTGAGGAATACTGCGGCGAAGACAACAGCCAAGGCAGTGTTCGATAACTTCATTATTCACTATAGTATTCCGAAGAGGATACACAGCGACCAAGGCAAGCAGTTTGAGGGTAAAATGATCAAGGAATCGTGCATATTAACTGGAATGGAAAAGTCGAGAACTACCCCATACCATCTTCAAGGCAACGGACAGTGTGAGCGGTTTAATCGGACTCTGCTGAATATGCTGGGAACACTGCAACCACACCAGAAAGCAGACTGGAAGGCTTATGTCGCTCCACTGGTCCACGTCTACAACAGCATGAGGCAAACCTCTACAGGATATTCTCCTTTCGAGCTGATGTTTGGCAGGAAACCCGTTTCTGGCAGGCTGCTGATGTAGTTCTTGGGCTAGTCAATGAAGAGGAAGAGTCAAAGCCATATAATACCTACATAGCAGATTTGAAGAAGAAGCTGCAGCACGCTTACCATTCTGCATCTGCTGAAGTTTCTAAGGGACAACTTGACCAGAAAAGGAGGTATGACAGCAAAGTAAGAGCTTCTACATTAGAGTTCGGAGATAGAGTTTTGGTAAAGAGGATAGCTTTTGATGGACGCCACAAGATTCAAGACAAATGGGAAGATGTTCCGTATACCATCAAGCGACAGCCCAGTCCAGATATTCCTGTTTATGAAGTGGTTTGTGAGGATAACACTTGTAGGAACAGAACACTTCATCGAAACCATCTACTACCTATAGGAACCATTCCGGAGAAACCATCTATCCCGGCACCACCAAAACCAAGAAAGAAGAAAACTGTTGAAGAGCCAGATAATAGAGACCTAGAGGAAAATGAAAGCAGTGACGAGGATGAGCCTGCTTACATCGTGGTTGAAGCACCTTTCGTGTCTCAATCCGGACCCATTGATGCAGCAGGAAGATTGGATAGAGCTTGACTCAGAGGACAGTCAAGATGGTGAAGCTAGGCCTGATTCACCAGTTTTTTGTAGGCGCTGGATCTGAAGATGTCGAAGAGGATACCGAGAAAGTTTTCGTTTCAGAGCCTTGTGAACCAGTTATTGAGGTATCTCTTACTTCAAGAGACCAGGAGCCTGTGACAGAAGTATATGAAGAAAAGTGAAGTCCTGTAGTGACGCACCAACTGGAACCAACAACAGTTTCTGTTACAGATGACACAGATGGTCCAAGGAGGTTTTCAAGAACAAGAGCCCAACCGACATGGCATCAAGATTACCAGATTACCAGCTTCTGTTTTGAGGAGAGCGGAGATTATTAGAGCCATGTTTCCGGAAGAATATCTAAGTTTACCACCGCAGAGTGAAAGTTTTATTGGATTCCATACCAACCATATGTAAGACTCTATTTCCTGATGTCTTTCAGTAAGTAAATGTTGAGGACAACATTTTGTTGTTGCTGGGGAGTATGTAATATAGTGTACAGGTTTTTATGTTTCAGCACAGCTTTAATGGTTTACAAAATTACACACAGAACACATAGTCACAAATATACTAACAATCAACTCAAATCTGTTCACCCTGTTCTATCTTTTTTATACTTTATCCATTGATGAACTTCTGTTCAACTCACCATTGTCATCACTCTGAACATTCTTACTATCTTTCTATCTTTTTGTCATCTCATTGTCAGAAAGGACTGTTTCTGTTCTTCCCTGTCTAAGGTTTTGGTGGGAAATTTCACTGTTTTATTCATATTTCATGGATTGTGTTGTTTATGGGAGGATTACTTAAGTCAGTTCTGGATTTTAAAGGTATGTGTATGACAGCCATTTTGCATTCTCAAGAATTTTGCATATAGTTCAGTTTTAAGTTCAGTTGTGGAAATTGTGTAAATATTTAGTATTTTAGTAACTGCACATTAATATGGTAAAAATATAGTTTTTTATAAGAGTATTGATATTTCTAGGTTTACTAAGGTATTTCACCTTATTATTGGCCAGTTTAGTATTTAGTTTCAACCCCCAACTTCTGGGTATGTATTTTTATATTTTTATATATAATATTTCATTATTTATATTCAAAGTGGTATTAGAATTATAGTTTGTGTTTTATGTATAAGCATAGTTATATTATGTTATTTTAGTCCATTCATTTCTCTGATTGGTATATAATCATATTTATTGTACGTTCAGGGGTTTTTGTTTAGTTTTACATAATAAAGTTTTGAAACGTCACCCACTGTGTGGTCATTCATTTGCCTTGACCCCCACCCGATAACAATTGGAAGAAGCAAAACATTTAATTAAAATAGCAGAAGAATTGAGTAAAAAATACACCCTTAAAAATGAAGCCAGAAACTTTAGTCAAGAAAATAATAGAAGCTATTGAAACAGCTTCCCCAACTGTAATAACTTACAATGGTAAAAAAATCAATATAACTAAAAAACTTATTGATAAATATAAATATTGTAAAGTCAGAGACGAAATAGACTTAGAAAGAATTGACGCAAATGCAAAAAAAAGGTGGATTTTTACCTTTCCTACCTTTGATATTTGCTGGTCTTACCACGGCGGGTGCAATAGCTGGTGGTACAGCTGCTGGAGTAAAAGCTGCCAACGAAGATAAAGCAGCTGCAGTAACAGCTGCCGAAGAACATAGACACAATTTAGAAATGGAAAAGCAAGCACAGAAAGCAGCTACTGCAAAAAAAGGTTCGGGAGTGGCAGATATATTAGGTACAGTTAAAGAATTTGGAAAACGATTTGGGGAAGAAACCAAGAAAACTGTTAAACAAGGATTAAACAGTATCATAGACAAAATAATAAAATAAAAAAAATGGGTAAGAAATTCAAACATTCAGAAATATTTCCTAGTAACCCAATGCTCATGTGTATATCCGGTAGTTCCGGTTCTGGGAAAACGCATCTCACTTTAACAAGTTGACAACACCAAACCTTTTAGATTTCGATTCATTATATATCTACACAACAACACCAGAGCAATCGTATTATCAATTTCTCAAAGCTTTAGAATATTTACTAAAGAAAGATGTTCAGGACATATTTCAATATTATGAAGAAAACGAAGAAGAAGTGGAAATAAAAGATATCATAGATAACTTCATTAAATCAAAGAATCCATCTTTCAATCCAACAGATATAAAAGTTTTTCTTACGAAAAATGTTAATGATCTAGACTTGTCTAATATTGATAGCAATCGAAAGAACTTAATATTGTTTGACGACTACGTAGCGCAAAGAAATCAAGCTGTTCAACAAGAATCCTTCACGAAAGGAAGACATCACAACTGTCACTGCATATACCAATCCCAATCTTTTTATGGGATGGATTCTATGTTCATTAGAAAAAATGCAAATTGTTTTTTATTATTTGAATTAAATGACAAAGATTTATCTCAAATCATTCAGTCGATAAATCAAGGAATGGATAAAGATAAATCTTTTTTCAAACCCTGACCCAGTTTTACCAAAGAGCATTTCACCAATCGTTGATGATGAGGGGTTATTGTTTAATCGATTTAGAATAAAATTTAGTGGAAATTCCCCTATATTCAAAATCGATACAAAAGGCTTTATATTTACATTAACAAAAGACTTAATAGATTTATTGAATGGCGGGGATTTTGATCTTGCCGATTACAAGGATTTAGTAGCATACTCCAAATTTCTACATGCAATTAGAAAGTCGGGACCCGAAACAAGAAGATTGAAATCACTTGATCTATATATAAGAGTTATTGATGAATATGAAGTTGACGAAGTAGATGATTATACTGAAGACAACATTCCTATCATATTCGAAAATATGGTATCTGGACAAGGTATAACATTTTTATCCGACAACAACGAGGAACTACTTAATAGATTACAAATAATATTAGCAGCAATGAAGGAAGGACATCGATCACACAGACAATATAATGAAGTAAATTGTATATTAAAAAGACTCCTAGAGAAAGGTATTATAGATAAAAATGATTATAAAAGCGTGATTAAAAATGTGAAATAAAGAACAACTATTTGTTATCACCTCAAATAAATCAGACATTAAATTGTCTCTAAATATGAGTACGAACTCGATCACAATCAAGAATATGAATTGGGATTAAAGTATTTCTCTGTTTACAATTCCAATAGAAATATCAACGAAAATAATAACCAAATAAAAATATCAACAGATAATGGAGTTATATTCAAAAGTAACGTTTACTACCAGGAAGCTACAAATACGTAGCCATCAACGAAAGCCTATCTGAATATGGAGGAATTGCAAATGATAAAAACAATATTGAATTCGAAGGTAATTTGAATCTGAACAAAATAAAATTGATATTATGTAAATAATAGTCAAGTTGATTTCAACGTAGAAAATTCATTGAATGCGTTCCTAGGATTTGATAAACAAATATACACGCAATCCACTTTAGCACCACATAAAGCTAATATCGAGAATGATATCGCTGTGATAAATATACATTGAAATTTGATAAACGGTGGATTTTTCAATCAATACAAACGTCAGATTAATTACAGTCTTCCAACATTCACTGTACCGATTGGATATAGAATTATATTTCAAACAACGTATTTACCACTTAATTCCATTATGATTAAAGATATAAATCTGGAAATCAAAGATGGTAAAAGTAGGTTTATAGATTTTGGGTACGAGGAAATTGTTATTTAACTTCATTTAAAACAAAAAAATTAAATTTATTAAGTAATTAAACACTCTTCATTCTCTTAAACCTGAACCTGATTTTAGTGCCAGTTTCGTTATTTTTCGTAAAAGTAATTTTATCTTTAGCTGGTATGGGTTGGAAGAACATTTTAAAATAGCTCTTCTAGGTCTGAATTTCTGCTCATCCGACATGGCGGAAGCGTATAAACCGTTGGCGTCGAACGCCATTAGTTTAGTACCTTTCATTTTTTAAAGTTTTGAATTAACTTCTTTTATCCTTTTTACTTTTACTATATTCTTTAAATAAATCAAATATATTATCACTTCGTGTTTCACTAAACTCCTTTAATACATTACAAATTTCATCCATTTTATTCGTTTCAATGATTTTCTGTTGGCATCTTCCTCCTTTAATGGATTGTCTGATAAAATGTCTTATAAAAGGGTGTGTATGTGAGTAAACTTTTTCTACGTTTTCTTTTTGGTGTGTTTTGGAACCATTCTAGTAGTTTCATACCATTCTTCTTCTACCATTTCTTTATTGTAATGATACAAATAATTTAAAGATAAAGAAGGAGCCGTTAGATTATTGGAAATATTCTGGAATACAACTTCTTTCATAACTTTGATATATTTTATCAAACAAGCTCCAAGACAATACATATCTCTTTTGGCGTAAGGTTCCCAATCGTGTCTTAAAGATTCCCAATTATCTTCGGAGTAATTTGCAATATTGATATCAGTGATCTTTCTCAAATTTATCGGTATATTAGATGAATTTCCCCATGCCGCCAAACTAGATATTTTCATGTTGATAGAAACATATGAAATTAATATTTTGCAGATAATTAGAGTTGCCCATTATTTGTTTTTGTCTTTTCCATTTTTTCTGTAAATATTCATCGGTGAATAAATTAGTTAAACGTAGAGATAGAATGCCTCTAGCTGTTACTAGTGGACATTGCGTTAGTTTTTTCGCATTTTCAAGCACAATCCAGTTATCAAAGCCGCTACCGTTGTGAGGAATTAATGTTAATCTTTTTTGATCTATTTTTCCTAAATGTTGCAACATTTGATCGTTGCAGTCTTTACCCACAAATATTTCTACAATATTCATTAATTTATTATTAAAATCTGGAAATTTATGTTTTATTCTGTCTAACATTTTTCTTAGTTTTTCTAAATTAATTAACGTGCAAGAATAAGGAATGGCTTTATTCGTTTCTTTTTCGCTATAGGTTTTGCAATCCCATGCATATAAACAATCACCGTGAATTGTTGGAAAAACATTTAGTTTTAGAGTTGAAACTTGTGTTTTATCATCTCTACAGGTTCTCCATACATTTTCATCGTAATTATCTTCTAATTCTTTAATGCCTAAGGTTTTTTTATTTCTTCTAATGAGACAGAAATGTGATTTATGTAGGTAAAATACTCAATCTAATTCCTCAGATACTTTCTTTGGTTAAAAATGTCTATTTTGCGCCATATAAATTTGAAAATAAGTATTAAATTTCTTAAGTTGTCATGGCTCCTTTTCTGTTTGATTTTGGAAAACTGTTAATGAAATCTTGAAATTCTTTTGTGTAGTCTTTGTTCAAAACACGATTTACGCACTTTACAAAGCTGTGTCCATCGCTTGGTATGTAACAATTTATACCGGCTTATTCATTTATCTTTTTGAGTAGGGTCGTACTACTACCCTTTTTTGATCTTTTTATTTCTTTGAAGCATTCCTCGACACTTGAAAAAGGATAATATTTCGAAAACCGGTTCGTGTCAATTGTGTAAGTTTTTGTTTTACTTGTTATAAGTTTTCACATCATTGTTAGCGTTATTTATCACCTAAATATATATTTATGCATTTTTCATCATAACTCTCATCTTACTTTATATATCCCCAAACCCAGTTTGATTTATTTGCATAATTTGATCCCCGCATTTTCACGCTAGCATATACAGTTTCCCCCTGTTACATCCACTGTACATTCCCTTTTTCTAAACTCAAGTTATTTTCATTATGCTCCCCAAATACAACAACCACTTGCAAGAAGCCAGACATAGAAACACTAATCGTCAACCAAGCCAATATCACTTACCCTACAACAGCCCATTGGCAGCTTTGATTTTGAACATAAATATTTAGCAGTACAGTAACAATCTCCAGTATGAAATATTCAACCTTCAGTCATAAACTTCTTTTGAACTTTAGGGCGATACTGAATAATATTGAGTATGAGTTATTGCCCTAGTTCTTGAAAACGTGTTCAATCTTTAGCTCGTGAAAATTCAATCTTCAGCGCGGTAATGAATAATAAAACCAAGTTTTGTCAAAATTCGGCAAGAATCATGCCTTCTAGAGTTTTTATGAGCTACAAATTGAACGAGTTTTCAAGATCAAGGGTTTCGTATTGTGGGTTCTTATAGATAGAATTAATAAAATATACAGAACTTTTATTTGTGTTGTTAGTTACATGATTTACATACAGGAAGTAACTATATTGTGCGGATTAGTATTTACATAAAGCATACTCTTGTTCCTGAATTAATATTATAAAGTTACGAATTGAATTATATTTATAAACTAGAATCACTACACTACATTACCCCCTTTTTCAGATTGCTAGTAACATAATGTAAATTGATATAAAAATTTTAAATTTTTTTAACTTTATGAAATTTAAAATTGTTTCTTGGAATGATATATGATAATTTCACTTTTGGAAATATTAAGCATTTGGAAAATTTAACACATTAAAAAATATATTTAGAAAGTCTTTTGAAAATATTTAGGAAAAATATCAAATGTTTCTATATCGGATAGGTATCCTTCTGTTTCTTGGAGGACTTCTAGGTGGTGGATTTGCTGGCTCCTGGTTAATTGGTTTTGATTTTTGTAATAATTGTGCTGTGAGATTATGTCTTCTATAAATACATCTTCTTCAGAATCAGCATCCTCATCAAATCTAACTTGTTGTCCATTGGGTTTATTAAATATTCTTTCCCATCCATCTCTCTTTTAGCAGTAATCATGGAACCATTAATGTGTATAATTTTATAAACATGTTTCTCAAGTGGAGTTGAAAGTTTGTTTATTTTGTCTTGTTTGCAAAAAACAAAATCTCCTAC